CCCAACAGAATCTGGTTATCAAATAGACAGGTTAGGTATATCCGAAAAAGAGAAGTCTTTCAACATGTCTTTTTGTTTTGTTTTGTTTTGTTTTGTTTTTTGAGACAGGGTTTCTCTGTATTGTCACAGAGATTCGCCTGCCTCTGCCTCCCGAGTGCTGGGATTAAAGGCGTGTGCCACCGATGCCCCGCTTTCAACAAGTCTTGACGTGTATCATATGAACAAGATGTGGGGAAGAAGACTGCTCTCAGGCTGGGAAAGTAGCCCAGTTGGTGCAGTGCTTGTGTGGCCAGCACAAAACCCTGTGTTCAATCAGTCCTCGGCACCACATAAAATGAGTGTGGCAATGTGAATAAGTAATTCTACAGGTGGGGTGTGGAGGGGAGGCACACAGAAGGATCAGATGTTCAGAGTTATCCTCAGCTACAGAGAGAGTTTGAGGCTAATCTGAGCTAGAGATTCTGTTTTGCTTTTGTGTGTCAGGCTGTTGCTGAGAACCTGGTGAATATTGCAGTCCACATGCATCTCATCATTCTGCATTCTCCCGTTTGCACAGAAGCCCAGACTCTGGTTTCCTTTATGTGCCAAGAACAGTGGAAAGGATGCTTAGAGAAGAGAAGTATCACTGGAGGGATTTTCTTTGTATCACTAGTTGTTCCATTCATCATTCTGTTTGTGTATATCCCTGAAGGATGGGGAACAGTATGCATTCCCTTCTGCACCCAAGCTCATTGCATTGATCAGTAATTATTTGCTGAGTAAATGAGCAGCCATACACAGGGTAATCAGGTTGCCTGGATGGTGAGTCTTGGATCTAAAACCATGGTGAAGGAAAGTAATCTTATCCTGTACTGTACTGATTGCATCTAACAGAGATAGAAAATGACAGATGCAGCCTCTTTCTGATCTATATTTAGTTAGGAGTGGGAGCTTTCCATGTCACTTGAAGCCTTGGGATTTCTTCTTTGAAGAGTCTAAGTGGCCGGATACTTTCTGTTCAAGGGCTGCCAAAGGGTACTTAATAGCACTGTGAGTTCAAATGAAACATGTTTATAGATGCTAATGTGGGTACAGGGGACACCAAACTTTATACACTGCTAATGGGAGTGGGAATTAACTCAGGCACTGTGCACATCAGTGTGGAGCTTCCTCAAAAGACTAAAATTAAAACTAGCATATGATCCAGTCACTTCTATGCATATAACTGAAGGTATCAAAGAGCATAGAATAGAGATATCTGCACCCCTGTGTTTGTTGCAGCACTATTCAGGACAGCCAAGTTTTAGAGTCAGTAGATATGTCTATCAATGGATGAACTGATAAAAAATGCACTATCCATTCACAACGACATTTAATCAGCCATAAAGATAAACATAATCAAGTGATAGGCGGGGAAAGTGGGTCAAATTAGGGATTATCACATAATGCAAAATAGGCCAGACTTAGAAGAACAAATTCTCGTGTCTTCTCTCATATACAGAGTCTATATTAAAATAAAAATAGTGAAGGTAAAAGTAGGATTATTTGACATATGAAAAGGTACCAGAAGGAGGGGGACAAGAGAGGCTATTGAAGTAGATATGATTAAAGTATATGCTTGTATGAAAACATCACAAAACATATGTTTTATACAATTAAAATTTAATAATTTTAAGGTACATGTATACAGTAAGATTTCAAGGGTAGATGTTAAGATATTTTTCAGTCATCTCCAGCTGGCAGAATTATTGGTAATTTTTCATTTGTTTGTTTTCTAAGAAAATATGTATTGCTGTATTAATCGTTGTCTTAACAAGTATAGTGAATATAAAACAAAACTGAATATAATTTTGTGTGTGTGTTCATGAATGTGTTTGTTTGTGCATGTTCAGGCCAGAGATCGAGGTGGACTTTCTTTCTCAATTGCACAGGAATTCTCATTGAATTTGGAGCTTACCAGTTTGACTAGACTGGCTGACCTACAAGCCCTAGGAATTCTTTTGCTTTCATCTTCCCTGGGATTATAGGTGCACAGTGGTTTTTACGAGGATGCTGGGGATCTAATTTTGCTCAGAACTTCAGCAATGAATGTTGCCTGGTCCTCTAAGTTGTTTTTTGTTTGTTTGTTTGTTTGCTTTGTTTTGCTATCCAGTGGGTGTTTTGCCTGCACCTGAAGAGGCGAGAAGAGGGCATTAGATCTGAAACTGAATTTACAGATAGTTGTAAGTTATCATGTGGGTGCTGGGAATCAAACCTGGAACCACTGGAAGAGTGACTAATGCTCTTAATGGCTGAGTCATCTCTTCAGCCATCTACTCCAGCCATCTGGTATCATTTTTGGAGGAAAAGACTTGATCTTTTCTTCCTCTTCTCAATAGGCCCTACCTCCTGTGCTGTGGAATAATCCTTTTGCACACTGTGAAGACATGTTGCTCTCATTGTTAATAAAAGCTGATTGTCTGATGGCTCTGTAGGACTTTAGGGGCAGAGAGAACTCTGGGAAGAAGGACAGAGTCACCAGGCAGATGGAGGGGGAGCAAGACATTCAAGAGGACAGGTAAATGCCACAAGTCATGTGGCAACATGTAGATTGATAAAAAAAAATGGGTTAATTTAAGTTGAAAGAGCTAGTTAGTGACAAGCCTAAGCTATCGGTCAATCTTTTATAATCAATTATAAGAAGTCTCTGTGTGGGTTTTTCGGAACAGCTGCTGAGACACAGAGAAAGTCCACCTACATTCCTGGGTATCAAAGGTCCCATCCAAGGACTGTCTATCAATGGCAAACTGGGTTTCCAGGGAGAAGAGTTGTACTCAAAATACCAGAGGAAGAATGATCTGTCTTTCCTGCTGCAGTTCTTCAGCATGTGGTGTTTTCCACAATCTACTGGACTGTTGATTTTCGAAACTGATCTATTATTAGTATGTTAACATCAATAGCTTTGTGGATTTTGACCAAAGGTAACTTTGTCCATCTTTGGATACATGAGGACCACTAAAGATAAGTATCAATTCCCATTTTGTGATATTTGGAATAAGTGAATGCATTTGCATCATTCTATGCTAGAGGTAAAGATGCCTCTTTCTTCTATTAGGATGCCAATGCAGATGCATTTGTACAAGATAATCGTGTTCCTAAAAACACTGCCAAGGACTTGGAAAAGGACACTCTTGGGATAGCTTTTCTTAGAAGGAATGTAAGAACATCTTTGGGGATATAGTGGTTTGAGATTTGTTTAGGATCCATATTAAAAAAGGCATTAGGATTTTTTGGCTGATAGATTGCCATGAAGAATATTGATATTAAATAAGCATGAATGATTGTCAGACACGATGAACAAATACCAGGCTCATTTCGCTTTGTCTTTCTTTGCCTAATTTTGGATCACAGATGAATTAAAGGTTGTATTCCCCCCCCTACCCCCGACATTAACTCATGAATTACTAAGGGAGATGAGTACAGTCCCTTGGAGGATAATAATGACTGTGGCTTCTCTGAGTTTAACATGAGCATATGAGTCAATCTTTTGTCTCTTATCTCTTACTGTCTCCACAGTAATTCAACTTGTTCTACTGGGTGTCTTCATAGCTTTCAGTTATAGTAGCTGCTACAGGATGGCATAGAATGTGTCTTCTTCTCTAGGACCCATGTGTTTTCCTTTACTGAGAACTTTAGAGCCTAGTACCTAATGAAGAATTGCTTCATAGAGATACCCATGTCCACACATCCCTTATGTAAACTGAGGGCCCTAGGGATGGGTAGTCGGGAAGTAATCACTATGGAAAAATCAGAGCTTTATTTCTCACAGAAAGAGAAAAGTGGTGGATAGTTTCTTAAAACATCAAAATATAAGTATAATTTTTAAGAATGAATGCAAACACTAAAACAATGGCTAAAAGAATTTTTAAAAGCTTTTTACATTTCTTTATTTTGTTGGTGTGTCATCAGAGGACAGTTTGCAGGAACTGGTTCTCTCTTTCCACCACAAGGGTCTCAGAGATCAAACTCAGGTTTGGAGGCAAGCAACTTTATCTGTTGAGCCGTCTTGCTGGCCTTTGTTTTTTTCTTGTTTGTCTTGTTAAAGAAACCAAGGGAAGAAACAGAGACTGTTATCTAGACAATGATGAAATCAGATAAGAGAAATAGAGGACAAAGCAAAGGAATGCTTCTCTAAGTAAACTTGGTTGTAGTTTTGACTTTAACAAACATTAATATTCTACTTATTAAAAGGAAGTTAAATCAGGGTGGGGAGTCACTAATGCTATAGTTCCAGCCCTCAGGAAACTAAGGTTGGGGAATCTTGAGTTCCTAGACAGCCAGGCAGTGTCTCAAGAAGGGGAAGGAAAGTTCAAGACCATTGTGGGATTGAGTCTGTAGATCAACAAAAGAGTGCTTGTGTAGCATGCAGAAGAGCCTGAAAATGCACAGGGCATGAAAGGCAAAGAAAAGCCGAGGACCTCCTCCAGACTAAAGCGTTCTAAACATGCCACGGCAGAGTGCTCTGTTTGGTCCTAGATTAGATCCTGAACTGTAAACATATTCTCATAACAAACAGCATTTGTATAAGTGGTGAAATCTGAGTAGTCTGTAGACTACAGAACAGCATTGTAGCAATGTCAATTTTCTTGATTTTTGTCATTTATGAAGTGGTTACATAAAGTAAGCTTGTTCTTAAGAAACTACAGGGAGACATTCCAAGGTAAAGAAACACATGGAGACAACCTACTCTAAGACAGTAGAGAAAAAAAAAGTCATGTGTCAGCACACTGAGAGAGTGCTCACTAATGGGACAAAATTTTAATGGATTTGTAAAATAGATGAAGGGTAAAGAGTTGTTTGTAGTATTTATTCAATTTTTATAAAGTTTAAATTCAAAATAATTTGTTCTTTTTAAAATGTGCTTCTGAGCTGGGCAGTGATAGAGCATGCCTTTAACCCCAAAACTTGGGAGGCAGAGGCAGAGGCAGGTAGATCTCTGTGAGTTGGAGGCCAGCCTGGTCTACAGAGTGAGTTCCACGACAGTCAGGGCTGTTACACAGAGACACCCTGTCTCTAAAAACCAAATAAATAAATAATTAGGTGCTCTTGGCTCCTTTCCTAACACAGCTACCCACTCCCTGTCTAGATTTTCTTAACTTAGTGAAGAGCTTGCATAATCTTGAACTTTACCGATGAAATGACCGGAAGGAGATGGAAAATTACAATCACAGAATGGTAATGAGATGACAGGGGAGAAAGGGAGGCTGTTCCCTTTGGCACAGAGTCCCTGCCTGAGAACAGCTGGGCTTCCAGGCCTATCCCTTGCCCTCGTCCTACGGGAGAAAGGAAGAGTTTTAGCCACAGACTTTTTATCATCATTATTTAATCTTAACTTCATCATTGGTAGCTGGAATGTCAGATCACAGAAAGTAGCAACAGGGATGTGCATTCCATATTGTGTGCCCTATCTTAAAAGGGAAGGCCATGCAGAGCTGGGAAGGACCCTGTTACAGACAGGGTCCATCGTGCTAACCAGAGCACATTCTCCAGTTTTAGCACTTTTCATGGAATCACTGTGTGGTTGAATGTCTTTAATACCCAGAAGAACACGAGTACAATGTGCTTTTCTGTGGTTCAGGTATTTATAGTAGGCAGCTGCATGCGCCAACCCAGGAGTTCAGGTATAGATTTCACAGTTACAAAGAGCCCACAGCTTCATCCTCAGAGGACACTTACCGGAGGACCAAAGCTGAGGAGTGTCTACAAAGCGCCTTGTTTAACCAAAACATGAATGGAAAACTGGGACTTGTCACCAAATTCACAGCCAAAGAGAAACAAATCACATCATTAGCAACACATATCATCCAATAGTTAAGTAGTTAAAGCTGAACAAAGTTATCACAGACAACTCAGGAGACTGGGGTCTGGGATCTTAGCCCAGGAGGCCTAGGGTCAGGTCAGCTCATGTCCTGGGTACTTACCCAGTACCTGTAGTTTACAGTGGAGTCTGCATTCTGAAGACCCCACCCAAGGCCCTGACTCTAGGAAACTTCAGTTTCCTCTAGTGGTTTTGGGGGTATGCTTTGTCTTTGTTAATGTGCATGTTACCCTATAACCCTGACTACTCTCCAAAGCCAGTGAGGCTCAATTTCACAAAAGATAAACTAAAAAGGCTAATTCTATGTGATGGTGGAGCAATACTCTCTCCACCCCAGGCCTGGGTCCCTTTGCTTTAACTGGGTTATCCCTGTATTGCAAGTGATGAATACAGGATTAAAATAACCATTTTCAAGGAAAGATTTCTAATTCTGCCAGCAGTCAAGGCCTTAAAGAAAAAGAGTCAAGCATGTCTAGAGCTGGTAGAGCAGGTTTTTGCATAAAGCCACACCCTCCTGGTATCACATAGGCCTGGGAACCTCTGTCTCAGAGATTTGAGCCAATTAGTATTTTCACTAAATTCTTGGCAGGTGTCGACCTGCCCTTCAAAAGGCTCCACAGCCATGGTGCATCAGACATGCTCCGTCTCAGCATCAGATCTCTGCAGGGCTGGAGTGGAGGCCTGGGTGGACTAGCCTTGTCCTGGCCAAGAGTCCCCCATCCTGAAGCTCCTTGACGTGTAACTCTGTTCTTCCAGGGTCAGAGAAAGAACTCGGGTACACATCTAATTCCCAGGAAACCAGGTCAAGTCTTTTTTTTTTTTTTCATCCTCTTAGAAAATGAGGTTGAGACAGAGCTGGCTTCCACAGAGTGAAATGAAATCCAGATTTTTTTTTCTTTTTGAAACAGGATCTTGCTATAGACAAAGCTGCCCCCTGCCCAAGGGCTGGGATTACAAGGTGTGTTCCACCACACCCAGCTGGATTGTAGAGAATGTTTTAGCACAGCATCAAATGATAGCAGATTTAACTAGAAAGTTTCTGACAGGACTTTCCACCTGTCAGTTCTTCATGTAGTACTGCACGGCTTTTACTGTGGATCTTTCATTAATTTTGTTTCTCTCGCAGCTTTCGTTTCTTGTGTATGTATTTATTTTTAGAGTCATCACAGGAAGCATCTTAGCCGTCCCCCTGCCCCCCACTCTGAAACTCAAACCCAGGGCTTTGGGCACGCTGGGCAAGCACTCTCCACCGAGCATCACTCTCATCACTCTACTTCCAGTTTGCTTATATAAAAATACTTCAGTTAAATAGTTTAGTTAAACTCCATTTTTAAATAATCCCAGGGTGCACGTGTATGTTCATAAATTCTGTTTTTATGTCCCTGTTACTTACACTTAGTTTTTAAGATGAAACTTGCATTTAAACAATGTTTGCTGTGGTGCTGGGGATGGAATCTAGTGCCTCATGCATGTGGAAGCAAGTGCCTGATCACTGGGCTCCTCCTACCCAAAGAGGTCATGTATGAGGACCATAGCCAGCTGCACTAAACCCTCAATTCTATGGGTGAATTTAGATAGGACTGAGCAAGGAAGTCAGTTCTTTCAAATATGAAAGACATATAAGAAAAGGAGGGAGGGAGGCAGGGAAGGGAGAAGAAAAGAAAGAAACAATATTCCCCTCTGTCTGCCCAAATAACACTTCTTTCCCAGCATAGGACAGTGATCTGTACATTGTCTGTGTGTGAGTTAGGGGTCTGGATGAGGGGGATTGGGAACTTCAAAAACTCTTAAGGAATTTTGAAAGCATGAAAGGAATCCTATTTGTTTTCTATGTTTTGTGTCTGACTTGTCCTGAGAGGAGATTACAAAGCAACTCCCCTGAAAACAGCATAAAAGACCCAGCATTCATTATCCTGGAGAGGATCCTTACTGGACAGGGCTGTTGTACAATCAGTTTCTCCTGAGAACACAGCATATTTAATAAAAGACTCCAAATGGGCACCAAAAAGGATATACAATATTTGTTTACCTCATTGGTAAAACACGAAAATAATTGTATGGAAACTTGATCATTATTAGTAGCAGAATAGAAGCCCCTCTAAGAGACCAAGTGTGCAAAGTGGCAAAGTGTGCCAATGTCAGCATCCTTCTTTTTTTTTTTTTTTTTTTGGTTTTACGAGACAGGGTTTCTCTGTATAGTTTTGGAGGCTGTCAGTCCACCCCGGCCTTGAACTCACAGAGATCCGCCTGCCTCTGCCTTCCGAGTGCTGGGATTAAAGGCGTGCACCACCAACGCTCGGCGTCAGCATCCTTCTTAACTCAGGATTCTGAAAGACTGATGGTCTGTGGGAATCACCATGGTTTCACTGGGTACAGGGTTGTCATAGTTACGAAAGGGAGAGTAAGAGCATCATTCTGTATATAAACAGAAAAACATGCTACAGTACAAAGCAAAGCACGTGATAGCTGCATAATCAATGCTGATTAAATTACAAAGAGTGATATTCTTAGAACCCAGTGGAATATCACTCTCATCCAGAGGTGACAGTGGCTTGCATTCTCCTGATTCTCACTGGTATAAGACAATTTCATACAGACACATACATATTGCACAATGCTCTACGACAGAATGCCACAGGGGAAGATTTTCATCTGGTCCTATCCTTCACAGATCAGTTCCCAAAGTCATTGTCCACAATGACTCAAGTGTACTTCCAAAGAAGGGCCCCAAGTCTGCCTTTCTGATTCACCAGCCAACTCTAGTGGCATCAGTCTTGCCTTGGTAATAGGCAAGACTCACTCCACATGGCAGACATTGCTATGTGTGTGACTCTTCATTTGACAAGAGACCTTGAGCCTTGGCAAGTCTTTGGGGACTCGGGATGGCAGATGATGTTCTTCAGAACGAGCAAACCAGACTGTGGCTGTTATTCTTTTGAGGGGCATTGCTGACTATTCAGAGTAGCTTGCTGTTCCCTTGCCAATACAATTTCTCTTCCACTTTTTTCTTTTTCCACCGGCAGAGGAGCAGCATCTTAAAGGTCTTCCTGAAGGTTCTGTTGCAGAGAGCATAGCAGATGGGGTTGATGGTACTGTTGACATAGCACAACCAGTAACCCAGGTGCCACAGGGTGACAGGGACGCACTTGTCACAGAAGGTGGAAACCAGGACCATGATGTTGTATGGGGTCCATGTGATAATGAAGGCCAGGAGAATGGCACTCAAGGTCTGGGCTGCTTTCCTCTCTTTGACTAGGACCATTCTCTTTCGTTTGGTCATTTGATGACTGAGGTTGGCATCCAGGTCTTTTGGTGAAGGATCTTTGGACACCGGGAAGGTACAGGGCATGATTTTCACCTTGCGACAGCCATTGTTAGTCTCCTGGGTCCCGTCAGCTTTTACCACCAATCGAAACTTATAGGCAACACACTTCTGACTCTTGAGTCTGTGAGCAGCAGCCGGAGATAGGAAGTATTTGGGAGTGTCGTAGTCATTGTTTTCAGTCTGAGCGCTCACAAAAGTTTCCTTCTTCTCTTCCGTACTGAATTCCTTCCTTGGGCTTTCCTTAGCTTGGCTCTTGTAGACCACTTGGAAGACAGGGTCAGTGGTGGACTTGGCCTCATCCTCTGAGGAGGGGTAGCTGCTACAGGTAGTGACCTGCTCAGCCTTGTCCCAGTCAGCACTTAGGTCAGTGGCCTGAGTTGGCTTTCCTGTTGTTGAGGTTCTTCTGCGGGAGGATGACCAGGAGGCCTGATTCCTTTCCCTCTGGGCCAGGTTGGGTCTAGGGCAGTTAAAGAAAGATCTGAGCAGGGTCCTGTGAGCCGGCTTTCTTTTCTTGGCTTCTGCCACAGAATCGGAACCTTGGAGGTCAGCCAGGTCCTTGGTTCGCTTCTCTGTTTCCCGGTAGATCCGGCAGTAGAGTATGGTCATGACGGAGACAGGGATGTAGAAGGCAGCGATGGCAGTGCCGAAAGTGATGGTGGGCTCGGAGAGGAACTGGATCTGGCACTCATCGGGTGGTACTGTCCGCTTCCCAACCAAGTACTGCCAGCAGAGGATTGCTGGTGCCCAGAGGAGGAAGGAGATCAGCCAGGCCAAGCCAATCATGATGCCAGCCCTCTTTGGGGTACGCTTGGCTCGGTATGTCAGTGGTCTTGTGATGGAAAAGTAACGGTCAAAGCTAATCACCAGAAGGTTCATGACAGAAGCGTTGCTGGCGACATAGTCCAGTGCAAGCCAAAGGTCGCAAGCCAGACTTCCGAGAACCCAGCGACCCATGAGGATGTAAGTCGTGTACAGGTTCATGGAGAAGATGCCAATGATGAGGTCTGCACAGGCCAAGCTGAGCAGGTAATAGTTGTTAACTGTCTTGAGCTGACTGTTGACTTTGAAAGAGACCATGACCAAGACATTGCCCACAATGGTCATCAGGCTGACCACAGCCGTCACAGCTGCAATAGTGATGACTTCCCACAGCCCATGGCGTTCCAAAGCCTGGTGATTTACTGGGGTGCCGTTGACCGTGGTTTCATTTTGGTAAGATTCCCCCTCCATCCTGGTTCAGGAAGTTACATTCGGATCTAGTCTGAGGTTTGGAGCTGCTCTCTGTTCTGCCTCCCCTCTTCTTGACCTGTATCTGGAAGAGACATAAACAAGTCAGCTCCTCACACTTCTGCGAGATTTTCTTTTCCATTTGGGAAACTGTTAACAGAATAGGACAGGTATTTTGTTCATCATTCCTAACAGAATATGACATGTATACAGAGCAAGATGCTGGATTGTTGAACCTTTTTTTTTCTTAGAAAATGACTTAATTTATTATCATACTATTGTTAGTATTGATATGGTTGAGATAGTTAAGTAAAAGGTAAAAGGCAAAATAAAATTTGGACATTATATATATATATATATTATACATCATTACATGATAGTATAGTAATATATGTATATATCTTTATCACTCTTAAATTTAATTAAATTAAACCCAACAAGTATTGGGATTTAATTATAAAATTTTTCAATTAAGAATATTTTTCGACGGGCGGTGGTGGCGCACGCCTTTAGTCCCAGCACTCGGGAGGCAGAGGCAGGGGGATCTCTGTGAGTTCGAGGCCAGGCTGGACCGACAGTCTCCAAAACAATACAGAGAAACCCTGTCTCGTAAAACCAAAAAAAAAAAAAAAAAAAAAAAAAAGAATATTTTTCAACGGGTGGTGGTAGTGCATGCCTTTAATCCCAGCACTGGGGAGGCAAAGGCAGGTGGATCTCTGTGAGTTCGAGGCCAGCCTGGTCTACAGAGTGAGTTCCAGGACCGCCAGGACTGTTTTACAGAGAAGCCCTGTCTCAAAAAACAAAAGACAAAACAAACAAACAAAAGAAAAAACAAAAAAAATTTTTCAGTGAAAAATTCTGACATTTTATACGTGTAAAAATGAATTTTGTTCGTCTTCATGCTCCAGTTCCCTCAATCATTCTCTCCTTCTCCCACTGAGACCATTCTTCTTCCACAAAAATCTATAGACCTCAATACCATTTTATCACCGTACCGTCAGTTCTTTGTGAATGCCAAATGATGTGTTTTGATTGTATTCACTCCCCCCACAACCCCTCCTAGATTTATCCCTTTTCCCTACCCACCCAACTTTGTGTCCCCTTTATTTTTAGTGTATGATTGTTTCCATTTTTTGTCTTTTTTTATTTAAATTAGAAACAAGGTTACTTCACATGTCAATCCCAGCTCCCTCTCCCTCTCCCTCCCCTCCTCCCACAGCCTCCCACCAACCCCTTCCCCCTCTGCCAATCTCCACTCCTTTCCCCAGGAAGAGTGAGGCCCTCCATGGGGGTGTCCAGAGTCCGTCATTTCATCCAGGGCAGGGCCTAGACCCTCTCCCAAAAGTCCGGGCTGAGAGAGCATCTCTCGTGGGATGAGTTTCCATTTTAATGAGCCCCAATGCCGGAGTATAATTCATATGTGTGAAACTGCTGCCCTCTTGTGGCAGTTATAGAAAAGGGGGTGAGAAAATGAAGATGAGAAAAGAATGACTAGAATTGCAGTTAGCAAACTTCCCAGCGGAAGTAAAAGCTAGGAGAGGGTGGAGAGTGAAAGGTAGGTGGTGAAGTTGAGGGATAGTAGGGTGGACATGAAGGCTAGGAATGGGGGTGGGGCTAGGGGCTAGTGTGGAGGTGCGACATGGGAGTGATAGACTTGAATATAGGGGATAGAAACCGGAAATGAACATCGGAGGTAGGGCCTAGAAGCCGTCTGCTTGGATCTCTGTGAGTTCGAGGCCGGCTTGGTCAACAGAATGAGTTCCAGGACAGCAAGGCTACACAGAGAAACGACCCCCCCCCCATCCCTCAAAAGGACCAAGCTTGCTGCTCACAATGGGTTAAAAGTCAAGGAGAACACCTATTGAAGGAATGTGTGAAGAAACAAAGGTTTTGACATGTCTTTTTAAAAAGGTGTCTCTTTCTAAGTAACACACATCTAATTTCTTTTGACTCATAGAGAAGTACAATTCAAAGCTCGTTTCAATTAAGAGATGGTTTTTTGTGGAGCCGGGCGTTGGTGGTGCACGCCTTTAATCCCAGCACTCGGGAGGCAGAGGCAGGTGGATCTCTGTGAGTTCGAGGCCAGCCTGGTCTACAAGGCGAGTTCCAGGACAGCCTCCAAGACAATACAGAGAAACCCTGTCTCGAAAAACCAAAAAAAAAAAAAAAAAAAAAAAAAAAAAAGAGATGGTTTTGTGGTGGTGCAAGCCTACCAGCACTCAGAAGCCAGAGGCAGGCAGATCTCTGTGAGTTCCAGGTCAGCCTGGTCGGACAGAGCTAGTTCCAGGACAGCCAGGGCTATGCAAAGAAACCCTGTCTTGAAAAACCAAAACAAGAGATAGCTTCTTGAGGGAGGGAGTGGTGAATGGGGAGAGGGACTGGAAGAAAGAAGGGAGGGAGGAAAACTTGTGATTGGGATGGAAAAAAAATAATTAACTAGCTAATTCATTTTTAAAAATCAGGGGGGAAAAAGAGATGATATCTCATTGTCACTGAACCGATGCTATCTGGAGCAAGATTTTAACCAATGCCAAACACTGTTTATTGGTGTGCTATATGCCTCGGAGCATAGAAGACACTCAAGTGAATGAATTGAGAGAATTGATCTTGTTCCCCATTAAAGAGCATCTAGGAAGAAAGCTGAGCCTCCTGGTCTAATTCTTGGGAGAGGAAGGTCTATTCTAAGGATATTAAACATTCGCACTGTCGCTGTAGGACAGGAAAGCCGGCGAGACAGTTACACTTGAGGACTCAATTGGAGTCACTGGATTCATGTGTGAAGCTTGTTTCCCAGTCCTCAGGTGGGGGTGGGGACTCCCTTCCCTTCTGTCTTGTGTAGTATTCCCAGACTTTGGGGACTATATCATTTTTCTATGTGTGCCATGTCATTAAAAAGCCTTGGCAGGGGGCTGGAGAGATGGCTCAGAGGTTAAGAGCACTGCTTACTCTTCCAGAGGTCCTGAGTTCAATTCCCAGCAACCACATGGTGGCTTACAACCATCTATATTGAGATCTGGTGCCTTCTTCTGGCGAGATGACATATGTGTAGGCAGAACACTGTGTACATAATAAATAAATCTTAAAAAAAAAAGTCTTGGCAGTACTGCTGCAATTAGGTTTATGGGAAATTCTGAAAGCCCAGAATTCCTTGGCAGTTAGCAAACTTCCCAATGGAAGTAAAAGCAAGGATTACGTATTTATCATTGCGTTCCTAACGGAAGCATCTTTTTCTGTAAGTGATCAGAAGAAAATGTCGTAAGGAGGCAGCGACTCACTGCATCAAGCAAAGCTGGTAAGTCTAGTAAGATGAGGACCAACACGAGTCTGGGTTTAGTTCCAAGGAGATAAGAATGCATATTGGTAAGTCGTTTGGGACTGTGGTGGTTGGATAGCTTTGTGAAACATGGGGCAGAGAGACTAGGAGAAGAGTGGAAGGAAGCTATGCTACTGACTGCCTGCACGCTCTTCTGTGGACCACAGTTGTGCCTGCATACAATGCCAACTGAAGGCAGAAGAGGGAGTCAAATCCCTAAGGACTGAGTACAGACAATTGTCTACCTGTGGATGATGGGGCTCAAACCCTGGTTTTCGGGAAGAGCAGTAAGTGCTCTTAAGAGCTGAGTCTTCTCTCTAGCCTGGCTTTTTCTTATATTTAAAGAAAGATGGAACTGGGTGTTGGTGGCACACACCTTTAATTCCAGTACTCGGGAGGCAGAGGCAGGCAGATCTCTGTGAGTTCGAGGCCAGCCTGATCTACAGAGTGAGTTCCAGGACAGCCTCCAAAACAATACAGAGAAACCTTGTCTCAAAAAACAAAACAAAAAATGGAAAATCTGGAAAACAGCTTGGAGTGGGGTGGGGAGGTGGTAGAGTCTGTATTGTGTATCTTAGGGATTGGTTCTATCAGTTTTGAGGAGGTCTCTAGCTGTGAGCCAAGTCCTTGAAGCCCCTTAAGATGTCATCATTCCCTGATAGGCTTTGCCTTTTCCTTCATCTCCAGCACAATGTGAGCAGGAACTTGGGGCTCAAAGAGTAGCTCCTGCTAGATTCCCTTCCTCTGTAACCTGTGAGCACCCCTCAACAGTAGAGGCAGATGTTTAAAATACACCACAAATGGAAAGCCAGACTTGGTGGTGCAGTCCTGGAAACCCAGTTCCTCTGGGGGCTTAGACAGAAGGATGGGCAATTCAAGGCCTTCCTTCTAGGGCTACAGAATCAGTAAAAAGGGTCTTCAGTGCAAATTACTGAGGCGCTGTTTCAAAAGAAAAAGTAAAAACAGTGGATTTCTTTCTGAGAAAGCCTACCGATGTTTTCCAGTTTTCTTTTTCATGCACTCAGCGTAGGAGGCAGCTAAACTATTTAGCAATCTGCCTGTTTGCAGAGGGAAGAATCGAGAAGCTGTTCTTGTTCTATGAAATTTATATTTGCAAGGGGTCAATGATTTGTTTTAGAACTATCACAAACAGCCAGGAGGTGGTGGTACAAGGCTTAATCCTAGCAGTGGGGATGCAGAGGCAGACGAATCACTGTGAGTTCAAGGCCAGTCTGGAATATATAGTGAGCTCCAGGTCAGCTAAGGCTGCACAACGAGACCCACTTAAATTTGAAAAAGAAAGAAAGAAGGAGCTATCATAATATTTTCTTTTCCAAGTATGGAAAAGCTTCATGGTCTTGAGCTAGTACTTAATGAAGCTTTCTTGGGAGGTTTAAATGAAAACCCAAATATTACCTGATGATAGTAATTTTCCAACCTGAATATGCATCAAAGTTACCAGCAAGTTACCAAAACAGATCACTGGGCCTCATCCTCAGAGTTCTGGCTGCAGGGAGGCTTAGGAGTTTTCTTTCAACAAGTGACACTGTGTTGCTGTCCCACATTCTGAAAATGATTACATAATGTGTGGATTTCTGTTTATAAAAATAGACCTGGGAGGGGTAGAAAGATTCTAAGAACAGGAGGTGTGTGTGGTGGGTGCTGCAGTGTGGCCCAGACCAGAACCATGTCTCCCGAACATGCAAGGCTCCTATTCTTATGAAAGACTCCTATTCCTATGAACTCATAGCAGCGCAAGATCAAGCCAGTCA